CCAATGGTGGAGACCCTGCAGCTCCTATAGCTATTTCTATACTATTCTACTGCGGCCCATCTAGCCCGCTACCACATAAGCTCACATTCCTGTCCACCACAAAAATGCAGAACAGCTTATTCTCATCCCTTTATGTTTTGGGTTTTTTTAATTGTTTGAAGATCTTTATCAGGTGTCCCCCCCTAGCTTTCCATCTGTCTTTTCCTCTCTCTTTCTGGACCTCTGGGTCACCCTCACCCTTCCTTGGAGGTCTCTTCTCACTTGTTCAAGTCTTCCTTGAGAAGCAGTGCTAAAAACCCACCAACACCCTCCGGCTGAGACCGTCCCCTTGCGGAGGAGAGCAGATGAGTCTGGCCATTTTTTCTAATCCATGAGAAAGAAACTGTGCACGCCTCCCCCAGCCCTCCAATGGACTTGCCATGAGTAGCTGTTTTCACTTCATTTTCCTTTCCCTGAAATTCATGTTTGTTTGTTTTTAATTTCAGTGTGGCTACCAAGCTCCTTTCAGCGCTGAATTAGAAAACATAGGATACAACAGCAGCTAGACTCACCTATTAATCAAATTAATGTGCCTTGGTGAACCAATTCAGAATACTGTGGTGCTGGCTCTTGTGATCTCGTAACATCTCCTGACATTCAATATTTTTGTTAAAGCTCTACTTTCCAGATTCACGTGATAATGGGAGAAGCTGAGGTTTCACTTAGGCAGAATTAGCAATAAAGTATCTAGAGCACCTGGCTGTAGAGAGTAATTGGCAAATGGGACCCAAGTGCATCCTAAAGTCTCAGAAAACCAGAAGGCAAATAAAAAGCACCTGCAAACAACTGTTGTTGGCTGAGCTTGCTGGAAAGACGCTTGCAAGAAAAGAAAAGTCTGGCTGCTCCTGTGGACAGGAGCTGTTGAAAGCTGATCCCAAGTTCTCCAAAATACTGTGATGTTTTCTGGATAGCCCCATGTGGGAAAGGAGAAGAGATGCAAAGTGGTGCAAGAAATTATCACCCACAAAAGCTACGGAGTGGGAAACCTGGACCTCCAACCCTCCAGTACCAGTCGTAATGAAAGTGCCCCCTGCTAGAAGGCTTTGGGGCGCTCTGCGTGTTACCAGGTACCTTGCCTTCAAATACCTGCGTGGGTTTTCCCGGCAATACCCAGCATCCCAAGCATGCCGGTTGCGAGGTGCTGGCAGGTGTCAGAACAGCCCAGACTCAAGGGGCACAGACGTACCTGTGACATTTGGGAGCATGAGGCCACTTCAGAGGCTCTGTCTCGGTGCCATTTCCCCTGTGCATCAGCCACGTCCGAGTAAGAGGGTGGCTGAATGAAGACAAGGATGCAGAGAGAATAGGTACCGGGTGTATTGCTCGTGCAGGAGAATCAGTTTTTACCAATTTTCCACTTTCTGTGATGAGGACCTCTTTCAGCCAACGCTGCCAGGGTGCTCTCTCTTTGGTGGGAGGAGTGCATGAAAAATACAATTTAATGCCACTGTTGGCTGCCGTTCCTTCTCAAGGGGCTGTGTGGGGCAGGAGGCAGTGGTGTGAGCACCACGGACACCCATGAAGGTGTAGAGGAGCTGTGAACTACGCTGGGTGAAACTGTGACTGTCTCTTGCTATGGCTGCCCATACACAGTCCCCATCCCCTGAGAAATGACAGTATTAAAATACGCCACCAGACAAAATATGGCAGAAAATACAGTTTTACAAACCTCTTGACATGAAAACTTCAAAAATACATAGGATATGGGACAGTAAGAGAGACACCCAATAAACAGCTGGACATAAAGGCAGCTGCAAACTACTACAAATAAAGGAAGCACTGAGGCTGACTGCGAGACCGGTGGAAGACTTCTCCTGCCATCCTTGTCCTGCTGCAGAAACTTTTTAAGTTGTTAGCAGGAACAGTTTGCAAAGGCTCACACAAAGCCACCGTCAGAAATAACTCGAACGCAGAGAGGAAAAAATTGCTCCAGAGTTCTTTTGGGAAGGATTAGGTTTAAAATAATTGCCATTTATAAATTAATTTCACATCCGTTTGGAGCTTGGCCTACTAGCATTTCAAGGCTTGACTGGAGCTGGCAGACAGGGTGGGCACCGATTCCAGGGTCTGACTGCCAAGAAAAAGGAAAATATTAAGAGAAAAAATTGGCAATGAAAAAAAAAAGGCCAGAGAAATGTAGG